TATTATTAATGTATAGTTTAAATTTTATAATATAATATCAATTAATGTGAGATTTTTGGGCGAAAACTACAAAAATGATGAGCAAGGATGGTAATGGGCCCTTGTGGAGAGGTTAGTACGATACTCATCCCTAACCCATCCTTGTGTGGTTATTTAGTAAGTGAATATCTACGAATTTTATAAATACTCGCAGATATATATGAATATTCATGGATATTTGTGCTTTTATTAAAATATTACAAAAAAATTTATTGTATATATGTTGATTTTATAGGAATATTAAAGATAAACAATTGATATTAACTTTTGAATTTGTATTTAATGCTAATTTTATTGAAATATTAAATACTACGAGATAAATATATAAATATTTTACTCAATAGATATTTGTGAATATGAATATTACTATATTTGCCCCTATCTTGTTTATTAACAAGTAAAAAAATACCCATACTAATTTGTGAGTACCCATTTAGACTAGTCATTAACTATTGGTGGCAGATTTTACCCCGTGAATACTCATGAATATGAGTTTTTTTGTTATTCCTAATCATGAGACTGATAAATGATACATTTGGCATAAATATAGAGACCTTTAATACTAAAAAAAAAAAAGATAAATTATATATTTTAAATGTTTTAGATTTAGACAATGATTAAGTCTTTTTTAGTGTATTTTCATTTTGCTGCTTGCCGTGAAGTTTGATAAAACTCTTCCCAACACCCCTTCTTGTTGGAAGATCAGCTTACATTATGATGCGTCAAAATGAAATTACTAGATAATTACTTTCATACTTTTGTTCATACAATAATTGTTTGAGTCATGGTAAAACTACTCAAAGATATAATGTGGCTAAGTATTTGAGTCATGGTAATTGCGATGCATTGTCATCTTACGAAATATATTAACACCATAAAGCATCTTTAGTTATAGTTTAAGCAAAAAAAAATTCATTTTGTTTAGTTACACCAATTTAGAAAAGCAAATCAATTATATTTTATCATGTTAAAATTAAAGAATGTTAGAATAGTGGATTAAGCCTAACTCAACCCTACAAAACCGACTTGTAAGGTGAAGGTTGCTTTCCACTTATATACTATTCAATTGCCTAATCTCTAGTCGATGTGGGACTTGAGTTTTTCCCAATACACTCCCTCACGTCCAGCACTATTGGGCTTGGTACGTGAATAAATGGTGGGTGACCCTTTTTAATGATCTAGGATAGGCGGGACTTGGGTTTTTTCCCAATACACCCCCTCATGCCTATGGCACATGCATCAATGGTGGGTGGCCCATTTAAAGTGGATCTAAATGGCTCTGATACCATGTTAGAATAGTGGATTAAGCCTAACTCAACCCTACAAAACCGGCTTGTAAGGTGAGGGTTGCTTTCCACTTATATACTATTCAATTGCCTAATCTCTAGTCGATGTGGGACTTGGGTTTTTCCCAATAAAAAATGATCTTAAATTATTTGGTTCATAATTGCTTAATACCATATGTTTTGAATAAAATCAATATGAACTAGATATAAGACGGATAAACTACTTTAGAGTAATGTTACTTAAACTTCTTAAGATTAGTAAATTGTTTTATATGTCTAAAAATAATGTTTTCTATACAGAAATATGAAATAATGCTCATTTTCCCCTATATTAGGTCTTAAAATACTTTTAACCCATCTAATTAACTTTATTTTTATTGCATATATATGACATATGCAACTTCTACATTTCTTTTATTACAATTTAATCAATAATTATTTATTACTTGATATTATCGCACTTAATTATTATGATGATTATTGTGATAAACGACCATAATCTTAAATCGTATATTTAGCTACTATAATTAAATTTTATAAATATTTATGGAGAGATATTTTTATTTGTTTTGTTAGACTTATTATAATAAGGTTTATTTTATTTTTTTGGTTAAAAAATGTTTTTTTTTGTCATACTTGTATAAAATATTTAAGTTGTGGTTTGTTACGGAAAATTGTGGAATCAAACGATATATAAAAATATATATAATTAATGTTTTTTTAATGATGTGTGTTATGCATGGATATATTAGTATAAAAACTTAAATGCATTTATTACCATTTTGTCATAAATTTTCGTATGTTATATTGGAAATTTTTTTAAAAATTATCGTATTATCTTAATTTTATATATATTTGATAATTTTAGTTATTAGTTGATTATTATTATTATTATAATTTTGTATTTGTTTTAAATCAAATAATAGACATAAAGACATGTGAAACTCCAACATGATTTATCAAGTACAAAAATCTTCTCATAAAGATATAAGTAAGACTGGTTCACAATTAACCACTATGCACAAATATCGTCTCAAAAAGATGTGAATAGAATTGACTTACAATCGATCACCACCCACAAAAATTATATTGGAAAGATGTGAGTAGAATCAACTTGCAATCGGCTACCACACACAAAAATCATCTCAAAAGACATGAGTAGGATCGGTTCACAATTAGCCAACATGCACAAAAATCTTCTTGAAAAGATGTGAGTAGATTGACTCGCAATTGGTCACCACACACAAAAATCATCTTGAAAAGACGTAAGACCGAATCGCAACCAATTACCATGCACAAAATTCATCTTAGAAAGTTGAGTAAGAATGGCTTGCAATCATCCATCACACAAATCATCTTGGAAAGACGTGAGTTAGAACAAATTGCAATTGACCACCACGCATAAAAATCATCTTGAAAAGACGTGAATATGTAAGATCAAATTAAAATCGATCACCATGCACAAAAATCGAGGAATCAAGGTTAGCTGCAAATGAACCATCTCAAAATTATCTTGAGAGGCCTCGACTATTTGGCAAAATATGAAGAAGGTTGCCTACAATCTTTACACACCTTGTGCTTAAGATTGGGGACAAGGGTGCCATATTGGAAATATTTTGAGGCCTACTCATCGCCTAATGTCCAATTTAGTAGTTTGAATTCAAAGGTTGTTGAATATACACCAAGTTGAGAGAAGTAATATGATGATTAACCCATTAATACATAAATTGAATTTTATAACGTAACACCAATCATTATGATATTTTAGAGTAGAAACTATGAAAATTATAAGACTCATAAATGATAAGTTTGGTATACAAACAAACCTCTAGTACTAAAGAAAGACAGATTACATATCCTAAATGCTTTGGACTTAGACAACAACTAAGTCTTTTTTAGTGTATTTTTCATACTAGAACAACTATCAAATTTTGGATTAGGTTAATAATTTTCCTTCATGGAAAACCATTGTTTTGGTGAATTGTAACAAAGATTATATATTTCAAAGAGAAATTATCATTTAAGAAAAATGGCACTCCAAAATTAAAACAATTAGATATATAAACATTAATAAAAAGTATTGCTCTACGTGTAAATTTTTTTAATTAAAATTTAATATGGATGTAAGTATATATGGATAACCCCTGAACCCAAACTTATTTAAACCAATCCAATGAATTTTGATAAATTTTCTCATTGTTCAAGTCAAACCAAATCCAACCATATCAAAACTCGGTACCAAGTTGAATAATGGTTTTAATGTATTTTGACTCGTAATCTAACCAATCCAATCATATATAATAATAATAGTAATAATAATAATAATAATAATAATAATAATAGTAATAATAATAATAACAGTAATAATAATAATAGTAATAATAATAAGTTAGTGTAATCACTTACTCAAGACAATACTCTTTATTACTTTTGTTCAGTAACGGATATTGAATTTTTGGGGTTAATTAACATTGTAACAATATGACATATTTATTTTAAATTTTATTTTATATTAATATTAGTTATTTGAGATGATAACAATATAATAAATCAATAAATTTATTTTAAAATTTAGTTTGTATCATTATTTATTTTATTAATTGATAACATTGTATTTGTAATAAGATATCAAATTATTTACATCTATTATGAAATATTTAAATTTTTATAAAAAAAATTAATTATATTAATTTGATTGACTTAACTCAAGCTAACTCATTTGTAATTTTGCTAAGTTATATTTAAAAAAAATACATAAATTCAACTTAACCCAATCTATTGAATTTTGATTGAGTAAAATAATAAATTCATTCAAATTTAACCTAATTCAACCCCAAAAATTTAGAGTTTATTATCGCAATGAAATATAAAATTGAACTATTAAATATACATTTTATCTCTAAATAGATGGATTATATCTCATTAATAGTTTCTTGAATATATTTTTTTTATAAATTATCTGACCTCTCTGTTACCATCATTATCTCACCCATTTATACCTAGAAAAAGAAAATCATATTCTAAATGACTTTTTTTTCTTCTAAATTTATCCCCAACTATCCCTAATTTCACGTTACAAACATTATTCTCAAATCTCACATTTCCGCGTCAAAAGAAAACAACGGATAATTTATTCGCTTGTACCATTTCATACACTACATTCTAATTGCATGCTGTATTGTATATTATTCCCTTTGAAAATATTATTTAAACAAACATGCTTGATAGTTGATACTAAAAACAAATTGTTGAAAAATCACATAAAAAAAATGTGTTCTCTTTCACCCAATTACCCCAACCCTCCGCACCCAAAAACTGACACACGGTAAATTCGTTGAGCATTGCTGATCGTTCAATGATTAACACCATCTTATCATTTTCAAAACCCCTTTTTACACACCAATAGATATTCTTCCCAAGCAAATTATAGAAAATGACACAAAATTAACCACGTTATTTAATTTAAGTAATTAAACGTAACATCTCACTTTAATTAACACATGTTTTCATAATGAAGTAATGAAGTCCCTTTTTTGTAAGTGGGTCATTTTATACGGCTTTAAGAAAATACATCGTCATCTTTGGTTGTGCAATACGTAGGATGAAGTCACCCACTTTGTCCCAACATGCTTCCCCTTTGGTCTATATATATAGCAAGAGTGAGTCTAAGTTTTTATCCTAAGTAAGGAACCTTAAAAACAATCGTAATCCTAGTTGCTCTGTTTTCCTCTGTCTCACAATGGAGTACAAAGTGAAAACCACAACAACTTCTCCACCAATCCCAATCCATGTTCCCACCATGCTCTCAAACTCTCCCCCATCTTCATCTTCTTCACCTCCCTCACAATCTCACACACCTTTCCCTTCACCCTCTCAGGGCTCTCCCCCTGCTGCTCCTCCCTCTCCTCCGCCGCCCGTGGTGGTTAGCCCTTGCGCTGCTTGCAAGATCCTCCGCCGGAGGTGCGTGGAGAAGTGTGTCCTGGCTCCCTATTTCCCTCCCACTGATCCTATCAAGTTCACCATTGCTCACAGAGTCTTTGGAGCCAGCAACATCATCAAGTTCTTGCAGGTACCATCCATGCCATGCATTAACCATTTTTTATTATTTTTGTTTTTTTGTTATTGCTTTCTGTTGCATGACATTTTCTTCAAAGGCAACAAAAGAATTGCTTGAATTGTCTCTGATCATTTTAGAGGAACAAAATCATGGGTTTTGGTCAAAAGTGGGGGTAAAAGCTAGCAAGGGGCATACCTAATTGATGGGTTGTTTTCTAACTTCCTAACACATCAATCCTGTGCATAATTCTATCTTCTTTCAACTCTAGCTAAGCAACCACTACTTTTTTTTATCTTTATCTTTTGGGCAAAAGAATGATTAAGTCAAATAACATTTTGCATACTGCCTTGTTTTTCTTTTCTTTCTTGCTTTGTTGCTCCCCATTGTGACAAAAATAAGTTCTTAAAAAATAGTCCCAATTGTGACCATACTTATAATTAATTATAAACATATTTGAATACAAACTTGTAAATTTATTTTTTTCAGTAGATAAATTCTGAAATTTTTTTCTTTCTATAATTTGTATTCTGAAATTGCAGTTACAATTTAAAAAGTTAGTTACCATTGTATATTGGATCACAAGTCAAAATTTAGGTGCCACATTTGGAATCTGGCCAGACACAACCAATTTTGTTAATTAGTCCAATTATAATAGGGCAGAGCTGAATTTTGTTGTGTTAACATTAACAAGAATGAAATTGCATGAATTTGTCAGGAACTGCCAGAATCCCAGAGAGCAGATGCTGTGAGCAGCATGGTGTATGAGGCAAATGCTAGGATCAGAGACCCGGTTTATGGGTGTGCAGGTGCAATATGCCAACTTCAGAAGCAAGTTAGTGAGCTACAAGCACAGCTGGCGAAAGCTCAAGCTGAGGTAGTCAACATGCAGTGCCAACAAGCCAATTTAGTGGCGCTAATTTGCATGGAAATGAGCCAATCACAGGATCAAAACATGCTTCAGCCTCAACCCCACGTTGATATGAGCTGCTTCATAGAGGACAACACTTTCGGAACTGCTTGGGAGCCTCTTTGGACATGAATATCAATTATGTATCCTAGATATTTGTATTAGAGAGAGAGAGAGAGATTAATTTGTTCTATAGTAACTGGTAAACTTTGAACCTCCCAAGTGGAGGATGAGATAATGAAGATTATACCGAGGGAATTTCAATAAAGTCATTAATTAGTTATATGGTAGATATGGGTCATGGTTCTCGCCACCTCATTAGTCATTTCATGAGCCAAACCTTTGACAATGGTGAAAATAAAATAATGAAAGAAAAAGAAAGGGAATAAGTAAAACATAATTGATGGCGGTCTTCTCCGATATAATGACTCAAAGAGAGAAAAGTGAATAGAAGAAGAAGAAGAAGAAAATGAGTACATGGCATAGCTGTTTTAGTTTGAGTCAGCATAGTCTTGAAAGTTGAAAGTTCAAACAGCTTCGCAAAGCAACTATTTGTTTTTGGACCTCATTTTTTTTTCTTTTTCCCTTTTTACATTGAAAAATAATTTTAGCTTTTCGTGTCACACCAACTGTACGTGGACAATATCAAAATGCCTTTCCTAGCTATCTAATAACATCTAAACTACAATTTAGGTTTCATGCTTCCAATATCATTGCATTCGGTAAGTTTCTTCATCTATTTGTCTATTAAAATAATTTTTTTCATCTATCTTTTATATTTGAATTAATTTGACTTTTTTAAACTATAACTTTTAATTTTACGACACAATTTTAAATCAATTTTTAATTAATTCAAGATGTAAAAATTATAATATTAAATTTAACTATATAAAAATTATAAAATTCAATTATATTTGAATCCAAAAAGAATTATAAATATAATATAAAAAATATGTAAAAAATATTAACAACTATAAAATATTATGAAATTAAATATTTTAAATTTTTAAATTTTTTTTAAATTTATTTGTATGCAATTTTTTACTATGTTTATAACATTCTTTACTTAAACTTTAGTTACATTCAATAATATTGATATAAGTGAATTTAACGAAAAGAATTCCTAATCTTGAAATCAGTTAAATAATGATTTAAAATTATATATCAAAATTAAAAATAATCATTATTTTAAAAGGATTAAATTAATTTAAATTTAAGAGGTCAACGATCAAAATAAATATTTTAAAAATTTAAGGATCAAAATGAGTCTAATAAATAAAATAAAAGACAAAAAAAGTAATTTAATCTTTTAAGACTCTAAATTACCTTGTATACTTCTTCTCGTAAAGTTTTTAAAATTAAATTCATTTTTTTCGTCTTTTAAAAATTTACTTTAACTCGTATATTAAATTCTCATTATATAAAAATTTCATCAAATACGAAAGAAAAATAATTGCGTTGAAATTTAACATGAGAAGACTTATTCCCATCAAGCTCCCTATCCCCAAATAGATAAATAAATAAATATAAGATTCATCCGTTGTACAACAACCAGTCAATAATATTTTATCCTCTTACTCTAAGACATTTGATGAAGTATAACTCATTCAATGTGGTAAGTAATATTTAGAACTATATAATATAAGTTAAGAGTAGAATTCTAGAAATATAGGAAATAAAAGGATGTGCTGTTGCTAGATGATCTTCCTCTTCCGGTAGCGTAAAGTCGGAATAGGCATTTTTAACAAAAAAAAATGTATTTAAAAAATGAGTAAAGTTGACATGTCAATATCAACAAGCGTATCATTTAATATTTCGCCCCTTACAAGACTAATCAAATTGGTGTTATTCATTCATTTTTGGTTACACTTTCGAATTACTTTTGGACGAAGCAGTCTATATGTTTGACAGATTATTTTCTTCTCTGTTGAGTATAAATTACAAGCAAATCTGTTGAATCAGAAGCTGAAAAGGTGTTGCGCGCTTTTATTTGGAAATTAATTGACAAGTTTAAATTTAATTTAACTTAATTTTCTAACTATAACTTAAACACATACTTAGCTTTTATAAGTGTCACATTTTGATGAAAACACTTTTTCATTTGACTCTTTTAAAAAATGAAACATATGCCATATACTAAAATTATATATATATATATATATAGAGAGAGAGAAGAGGGTTCAAACACCGGTGTAACTTTTACTAAGTGTTACACTGCTCATATTAAATATGAATTTTAAAAATTCAATTATTAGATTGAAAGTTCATATCTCTTAGATCATATATGTCAAATTTTGTATTAATCTAAGATAATTTTTTTTCTCTTTTTGATATTAAAAAAATAATTTAAAATGAGAGGTTATAGAAGTTAAAGAGTTAGTTTTACAAAAAGATAACCTTTTTTCTTTTTTTTTATTTTGACAAGTTGTTTTCACTAAGAAAATTGTGAGAAATTAAAAAAATGTTAAGAACCTAAAAGAGTTTCAATATTATCATAGGGGCTAAGTAAAGAAAGTAAGATAAAAGAAAACTACTTATTAAAAAATTCTAAATTGTATTACAAATTTGGGTATTTTTCTAAACTTTCTCATAGAAATTATAAAGCATGGTAGCAGCGAAAAATATGTTATCTAAAATCTCTAAAACATATAATTTTTAAGTATGATGAATCCTAGAAAAATTACACATAATCATAAAATTTGCTAACATTAAAATGACATTATATAGTTACTTAGAGACTTAAATAAAACAATAAAAATATTCAATAACTTTTTTGAATTTCTTTAATTTTAAGTATAAGAGTCAATACTTTTAAAAGGTTGAATGATATTTTACCTAAACTTTATATTAATAATAAATATTATGGTTAAAAATGCAATGTCAAAAGGTATTTTAGAAATGATATAATAAAAAAATATAATTAATTAAGTTTTATTTATATTTAAAACAATTAACCATTATATTTAAAACAACTAATCATGAGGATTTTTTTTTTATTTTTGTTTTCAAGACCGTTATATTTAAAGCAATCAAACATGATGAATTTCTTTTCTTATTTTCAAGACCGAAAGAAGTATAGTGTATGTATATATATATGAACTTACTTTTATAATTTCATTCGAAACATCGATTTACCTTCGAAAATAATAATACAAAGTAATAGTTATTTGAAATCATGGGTTAAGGGTAACATTAATTATCAATATATATATATATATATTTATTTATTTATTTATTTTGATTGGATAATAATAATTAAAATATCATAAGAACTCAACTTAAATTTTATCCTAATGAAAGTGACATATTATGAACAGTTGATGACAATAAAATAAGGTAAAGAGACAACTCAAATTAAAAAAAAAAATATTCTCTATCGTTGTAACACATTTATTCTTATTAATCAAAATCTGTCTATGTTGAACTAATTAAGAAATAAAATCTATTAAATAGAAGAAGAAAAAATGATATAACTGTAAAATATAAATATTTCCCACTAAATCGATTAAGAATAAAATAGTAATTTTAGTTACAAGATCAACCCATATTAAGAATAAAATGGTATCTCATTGAGACACACACATTATACAAATTTCATTTAAATTTTTTTAAAATTATTACTAACATTTTGTATGTGTATGATTATAGCAATAAAATTAGAATTAATGTTTGTATATATATTATCTCCGAAACTGTGACTATTATGCCAACGTGTGTGTGATTCATTTGTTAACATTTTTCTTGTAAAATTGTATAACACAAGAAAAAACTAATGCTGCAATTTAAATCTAACAATGCAATCTACTAATGGATGACTACTTTTTGTTCCTTTTGCTCTTCTTTTTGTGGAGCCCTTCACCCTTGAGTAGTTTAAATCACGACCTTTCACTTTTTTTTAATAAAAAAAAGTGTCTAGTACACAAGGTGGTACATTTTTGGCCAAGCATAAACTAATTAACAAATGAATCAGTTTAAACTATGTCAAGGAAACAAACTACAAATTCACAAATTAACACTTTTTTTATGGGTCTATTTTTTTTTTTTCTTTTTCACCAGTTTTGCACTGCTAGACACGTCAAATATAACTTATTATTATTATTTAAGATCCATTTTTATACTCGTAATTTCTTTCTATTTGGATGAGTAAAAAAAATAGTATAAAAAATTATTCTATTATTCTTTTAACACAATTATTTATTGTTTCTTAAATTATTTATATTATAAAATTTTAAAAAAAGAGTAAATTATAATACCTCTCCTCTTATATTAAAACTACAATATTTTCTTTTGACAAATTTCAATACATGATATTTTATTTATTTTTTAATTTTTTTTTTGTTAAAGTTTCATTAACTTTCATTATAAAAAATGTTATTACTAGAACACCCTTTACAATAACTTCTCTAAAGAGATGTAAATATTACATAACCTTTCGTTCTTATATTAAAATAAATATTTTTTTTAATAAATTCAAATATGTTACACTTTAATAATTTATCTCTTGATTTAAATATTTAATTATTATTTTAAAAAATATTATAATTTTTTCTAAATTAACTATATATATCTTAAAAAAGTAATTTTCATTTTATTTTTATAAAATATTTTTAAAG